CAGGTGCAGTGGTGACCAGGGAACTGAGTGAAGTACTCCCGGGTCTCCCCTTAGCTGTATCATATGACACATCAGAGCTGTGGAGGAGCCTAGGACTTTCCTCGGCTCACTGAGGTCTGAGAGGTTGGTGTAATTACTCGTAACATAGATTTCAATCAACCACCTACAGACCTACAGACTCCCCCTTCCCCGCATTGACTGATGACTTAGTATTCTCTGTAGGGTACTGCGTAATACGTCAGAGCTATACTACTACTATAATAATAGTGTGTGGTGGAGGTATAGTGGAGTATCAGCTCCATGCACATGCCCCCCCATACAGCAAACCCCTCCCAACACTCCAGGCTGGTAATACACAGATACCTTCTCGCCTTCGGTGCTGATCTGGATGGCGTTGGGGATGAGTCGCGCTGTCTTCTCCTTTGTCATGGAGGTGACATCTTTCAGTGGCAGACATATCTGCAAATTATAAAGAAGGGTTACTTGGTTCAGGTACAATTCATTGTCTCCAACACTGTGAAGATGGAATATAGAAAGTGTGTTGGTTATTTTGCTGGAAGTGGTGAAATGAACATGGACTTCCTGGAGTAGGAGCCACTGTCTTTGCTCACACCAATCATCCCACTGTGAAAATAACCACATCCACGTTCAGCAACCAAATATGACTGTAACTGCTTCACTACTCAGCTGTGCCTGGCTTGAATCAAACTGCAAGAGTGGGTACTGAGTACTCTTCCCATTGAACTCCCCGCTCATATGAATGCTGAATATGGCAATTTAGCAAGATTTGTTTGTGTTTTTGACATAAAGTCAGGCTTTATAGCTGGGTATATAAGATAGGTGTCAAATCAAAACCACACGTGACTGCCTCCAAGCAGGGGCGTATCTGCCGCGAGGCAAACAAGGTGTTTGCCTTGGGCGGCATTTTAGAGGGGGGCAGCAAAAAATGCTTCTGCTGCCTAATCTAGCGGGACAAGGAGGCAGAGGTGGAGGCGAGGCATGGAAGAGGAGCGGAGCAGGAGCAGCAGGAGGGGGCGGGCCCGGATCCCCATCAGGGGGCGGGTCCAGATCCCCGTCGGGCGAAGGAGGACGCAGGTCCTGAAGCGCCAGTCGGGTGCGGACGAGGCTGGGACCTGCAAGGGCAAGATGGGGGAGGGGGATGGCGCCGAGTTTTGTCTTGCCTAGGGAAGCCCCAAACCAGAATACACCACTCCAAGGCAGCAGTATTTGAAGGATGGATCCTCCTGGGTGGGCCCCGTCGATATGAAGTCAATAATCCACATAAATCATGTGCCCACGCACTGGCTAAAGAGGGGAAATATCAGGGTCATATATCAAAAGAGAAGGAATAGGGTACAATTGTCTGAGGATCTCCACCATTCCTCTTTCCTTCCTCCAAACCTACACTGCAGAGGGGGGATCTATGACTAGTAAAATACTGAGATCTGACTTCAGTCCTTATACGGAAAATGTAACAGTTTCATTTTCCATACTAGCCTTCCTAATGGGGCCCCCTTCCTGCCCCAGGCCCATAGTAGTCACGTGGGCTGCTATTGTTATGACACTGGCTATCTATGTCCCATGGCTGGAAGCTCAGTTTTGAGTTAGGCATCACAAATTACATGGGTGCTATGATGCGACAGTGTGGTTTCACATGCACTTGCAAATGCATGCAACAAAAAACTCTGGGAAACGTTTGTATTGTTCTGTATATTGCCCTGTCCCGGTGTGCCTTTCCCTTTTTTGATCTTTTTAAAGGAGAGCTCTGAGGTGAGTGCCTTTCACTCACCTCATAGTTCTAGCCGACCTGTGACAATGAGACTGTCACAGGTCGGCTCAGTAGATCGGGAAGTGAGGGAACATATACTGGCGTTCGCTCACCTCTCGATCCTGTCACAGCTCTCTGCCGTGACAGGGGAGGGGCTGGATTCCCCCTCCCCGCTCCGATCCTCCAGCGCTGACTGGCGGATTGGACGGGGAGGGGGCGGGTACAGCTGGCTCTGCCTCTAGATAGGCAGAGCCAGCTGTCACTCACGCAGCTGGGCGGATCCAGACATCGATGTCGGGATCGGCTCCGGCTACAGCTTGCGGTATACTGAGCTTAGGGTAACGGGAGGATGCTAGTTTGTGTCCTCCCATTACCCTAAGGAGAACTATGGGGAAAAGCCCTGACCCCATAGTTCTCCTTTAATTTGGCCCATTACTCATTTTACATCTATCCAAAACTAAAGAAAATCATTTTGCCTGGAGTTAGTCTTTACGCAGTGGCAGGTCTGTCAAAAGGTCTTCCTTTCTTCAGGGGGAAGAAGGACTTTTTAAATACAATGGGGGAAATGTATCAAAACTGGGACAGACTAAATCTGGAGCAGCTGTGTATGGCAACCAATCGGTTTCTCACTTCAGTTTGTTCAGGGCTTGTTCACATCAAATTTTTTAGCCTAAAATGGGCTTTCAGTGCGTTCCAGGGCGTTTGCATGCATTTTTGATGCTTTTGCATGCGTTCCATAACAGGAAAAATAGGGCATGATGCAGTTTTTTTTACATGCTCTACATGCTCTGGGACTGAACGCTGCGATGTGAACTATAGCCCAAAATACCATTGGAATACATTGGACGCAGTTTTAATCCGGTCTGTAACTGCTCTGCTCTGCTCCTGGAATGCAATTGGTGTGAACTAGCCCTCAAGGCCCATTCACACCACATCCAGATCATCTCCAGACCAGACCAGATTGTTTCTGGACCCAAAATGCATCCTAATTGATCCCTATGCTGTTTCTGGCTTCTGTTCACACCAGTGCAGTCCGTTCCAGACCAGACCAGAAAAATACTGCATGTCTGTCTCATTTTGTCTGGTCTGGAATGCACTGGAACTGCGGGCGGTTTCACACCATTTTCCGGACCAGATCTGGTCGGGAAAATTGTGTCAACCTGCCCTCAGTGAAGATTTGAAAATGAAAGAGAGAAGCTAATTGGTCAGTTTTGATAAACTCCCTTCAATGTGCCCTGAATGCTGCTTTCTGCACGGTGAGGCGACTTATACAAAGCAGGGATGATGAGGGTGGTGTAGGTGCTGTTAGTAATGAGCCCATGACATGTGCTTTCTGTGGGATGCTGGCTGCGCCATGGCACAGGTCACATATAGTGGAGGTCCTCTAGCGGGGTCTTACCGTAGTCTCCCAGCGGAAGATGTTGCTGTGGAAGCAGATCCAGCTCTCGGACAGGTAAAGCCGGCCTTGCAGTAGGATGTCCTTCTGTAGAGCGCAGGTGTACTCTATAGGCAAAAAAAAGACCGGTTACAAAGTGCACACGCAGCCTCCAGGAATACTCCGCATGACACGGATCATGAAAAAACAGTAGACGCGTGTCACGGAAATTGTTGACTTTTTCAACATATTTGAACAGGCAAACATTAGATCTTTAGTCAAACACTGATAAAGATAATATACTTTACCTTTTCAATCGATTATTCAACAAAAAGATCAACAGATCAATTATTCTTATTGATTCCAATAGATTGGATGGTTTACTATGGAAAAAATAAGTACACCCTTGGCCTCAGTAGCTGCTATTGCCCCCTTTAGTAGAAATGACTTCTTGAAGGCTTTCTCCATAACTGCCCACCAGTCTCTGACATGGACTCGACCACAAGAAGATGTACTAACTGTCAGCGTTCAAGTGTTGAAAGGATACAATCCTGCCGCAGGGGGACTTCTATTAAAAATCTATTTAAATAATCCCTTTGTAGTAAGCTCTTGGAAGTGACTGCGCTGCCTAACGGGATCAACAGTTGATGAATTCCTGTATCCAGTCGGTAAAAGTTACTTTAGATGGATTTTATAAAATAGGCTGCACGTTATGAAGTACTTTTGTGAGTATAATAATAAAGTTTTATGAACAATGTAACACAATGCAGGAGTGCTTTCTCTTTGTTCTGTAGTGCTGTGCAAAATTCCTTTAAAGGAGAACTATGGGGTTAGGGCTTTTCCCCCATAGTTCTCCTTAGGGTAACGGGAGGACACAAACTAGCGTCCTCCGGTCACCCTAGGCTCAGTATACCGCGAGCTGAGACGCCGCAGCTGAAGCGGATCCCGACAATTGTGCCGGGATCCGCCCAGCTGCGTGAGTGACAGCTGGCTCTGCCTATCTAGAGGCAGAGCCAGCTGTACCCGCCCCCTCCCCCGTCCGTTCCGCCAGTCAGCGCTGGCAGATCGGAGCGGGGAATCATGCCGTGGGAGCATTTCTGGTGGGAGGTGCAATTCATGACGTAGGAGCATTTCTGGTGGGAGGTGCAATTCATGACGTAGGAGCATTTCTGGCGGGATGTGCAATTCATGACGTAGGAGCATTTCTGGCGGGATGTGCAATTCATGACAGATTAACTAATTTAAAAGTTGTAGCCATCAACTGGGAAAGGACCGGGAACTCAAGCAAAATTCTCTTTCTACTAGGGACACCAAGAAACATAAATGACAGGCAGACTAACTTTTTAGCATTCACAATAATCCGTTTTGGGTGGCCTGTCCCTTTAATTCCTTATGTTTGAGTTCCTGTATAGCGAATGACAGGCAGGGACAGGACAGCTGAGAAATGTGACCTCTGATCTGCCCCCTGCAATACGACCCTAACCCTGGACATCTACATACTCAGAATTCCAGGGCTGTCTGTCATTCTTTAGCATTTTGTCATCAATTTAGATCGGGGCGATCATAGATTGATCATAGTGATTCGTAGAAAATATTGATCTAAAATACGATCTAAAGGAAATATCTAAAATGTAAACAATCTATTAAAATTATAATTTTAGTTTGTTTTAGATAGAGGGGAGAAGAGTGAACATTTCTGTCAGGATTTTATTTCCGTGTGACCAGGTTGGGGAAATGTTTCCTCATTTCCTGTCCCTAAGACCCCCAAGGTGTCACACTCAGCCCTCCTCAGATCCAACACCAGGTCTAATCTCCGGAAGGTGGCCACCGGCACTTCTGAAGCCACTGCAGGTGCTGCAGCCAATCAGGAGACTGCTCTCCTGATCGGGGACACGGACATTTTTTAAAACTTTAAATTACAAAGCAACGCGTTTGAACAATGAGATGCTATACCTAAGTTGAGCCCCCTTGCTGCAGTAACCTTACCTGTCCTCCAGGCCTGCCTCTAGTCCCGTGTGCTTCTTCTGCCAGTGATCCCATTGCATCCCAGTGCACCCCCTGATTCTAGTAACCCCATGACTCCATTGCACCCCAGGGCATCGAGCAGCTCCTAACGCACCATGTAAGCCTCAGTGGCACCCGTGACCCCATGCAATCACTTGCATGCTTTGCAGTTATCTGGCTTTCTACAATCCACCGTCAGTACCCTCCTCTGCCTCTTCGATACCCCCCTACCATCACCAGAATGTCCTTCTCCAAGTGGATTACCCCTCAACTGCCCCCAAATGAGATGCCACCTGAGGGAACCCCCTCAGGCTGCCTCATTATAGGGATGGCCCTGCCTGTCCGTGACACATCAGTCATCAATATGGCAGACAGGGACAGGAAAATCAGTCATCAATATGGCAGACAGGGACAGGAAGCAATAAAGACACTGTCATAAGTTCAAACCCTAGCTCTCTATACTAAAAATTGTGTTCTTTACTTTGGTGTCCCTGTTGAAGAAATTTCCCATCACTTCCTGACCTGACAGGAAGTAAAGTAAAATCTTCCAAAAAGAGAAAGCAATGGTAATAAAAACCTGACAATTATCTGACTCCTGAAAAGCTTCAGCACATGATTGGGTATTTATGATACACATAATTTGCTTTTCACATGATAATTGAAGGGAATATTTACACAATTTGTTGAGTGACAATTTCCAACTTCTTTAGTCAACCAGCCCCATTGACTATAAAGACAAGCAAATCCTGCCCCCCGTGACCGCACACAGCATCAACTCACCCACAATCAGCTTCTCGCTCTCCGGCAAATCTTTGAATAGTTTCCGAAACTCCTCGCTGCGCTGTTTGTAGGTGGAGCTTGAGACCTGCGTCAGGAGACAGGAAGAGATTACAATTGATGTATATGTGTCTAGATTTCCACAAATAAAGGCCACATACATGATTCGTATCAGCTTCATCTGCCAGGAGCTGTTCCCAGGCATCGGCCTCCATCCCTCCTGCTCCGCAGAGTGTCAGGGATTGGGGATCCCGGGAGGTAACAGATGCCGTCACAAGTGCCTGGGCAGTATATAAATTCACACAGCACAAGTGTCCAGGCAGGCCTCCCCGGGGGAGATGCATTCCAAAGATAATGGAGGAGGTCGAATACTTTCCTGAGGAACTTTTAAACATTTCGTTTGGGAGTCCACGTCCCATAATAGATTGCCGCTATCTATTAGAGGGAGACTCCCTGAACATCAGGGAGACTTGAGATCCCTGATAGCTGCTGAGATGCCACAGGCAAAATACACTATTTGGCCAAACGTTTGTGGACCTCTCTCCAAATGATTAAGTTTAGGTGTCTCCAGTGAAGGGTTGTGTAACAACATACAATGAGATTTTAGATAATTGTGCTCTTCCAACCTTGTGGTAACAGTTTGGGGAAGACCCTTTAATGTTCCAGCATCACTGTGCCCAGGGCCGGATTTACTCTCTCTGCTGCCCCAAGGCCAAGTCCTCAATGCGCCTCTGATACACATCAACCCCCCCCCCCCACCCCCCACCCCCCGCGTCTCGAGAGCGCACC